CATTCGTCAGTGGTGGGGCATCTTGGCTGTTTCCATAACTTGGCTATTGTGAATAGTGCTGCAATAAACATGGATGTGCAGGTGCCTCTGGAGTAAAAAGGTAGTTATTTTAGATAAAACATAATAATCTATTAAGTATTCCCTCTTCCCTTTTTAAACCTCATTTGAAGCTTATAACACCTTGACTCTACTGTGTTATTATAACACATAGATAGCTGTCCGTAGGTTTCCTAGATTAGAAGTACTTTATCTTCTTTATATCTGCTTCACCTCCTGTGGATATTATTTGTGTTGTTTAATTTTTCTTAATAGTTAGAACTGTGTCTATACCTAAATAACCAAGAAGACAGACGGAGCTATCTTAATTCTTCAGTTGTGGCCCCTTCTTCCAGTTTTTGTTAGTTCCTAGCTCCTGTTTTATTTATTTATTTTTACTTTTAAGATATGACTCCTGGTTTCAGGTGTTGGCTGTTGATAAAATGATGTTTAGTAAAATGATGATGTATTGGATGATTTTTTTTATTACAATGTTGTAGATAAAAATTTAAGCATATACTTAAAATATTTTATAGTTATACCTGAAGTGAAATGCTAATGTTTGTTTTTAATTTTTAAGTTATATAGATTCCTTGCTGTTCCTTATCTGTGCTTATCAGAATAATAAAGAACTCTTGTCAAAGGGCCCATACAGAGGACATGATGAAGAGTTAATATCACATTATAGAAGAGAATGTTTACTAGTAAGTAGAATGTGCATAGTATATGTTTATTATTTTGTTGTCTTACATTGGGCAAGTTTTCCAGATGCATATGTAAGTGATAGACTCTATAAACTCTGACAGAGTATAAGAATCATGATGATGTCTGCAGTCTGTTTCCTTAATATGTAAAAATGCATGCATTATTTATCCTTCTTTATGGGTCGTCTGTACTGCTGGTGATCAACCAGAAGTGTTCTTTTAATGAGACCAGATTGCTCTCATTGCATATTTAGATTTATCATCACACTACCCCTCCCTTTTTTGGTCAGCAAGGAAGGGTTGTATAGATCATTGGGGAAGTATTCCAGAAAACAAATAACGGATTTTCTAAGATTTTATAAATGACAGTATGCTTGGTGTGCATATTGTCAAAGAGTTCATTGTGATACAATATCCTTTATTCACATCTGGTGATTAATAGGTTTTTTTCCACATATATTTTCACTCTGATGAAATGTTACTATTGTTATAGATATTAAAAAGTTACTTTGAAAAAAATTTTTGCACAAGTTTATATAACTAGATACCTAGAGTATTTTGTTGATCCTTGTATCATCTAGCTATGATAAAATCACAAATTTCATTAGAAATTGTTACGGTTTCACTCCCAGTTAACTATTAACATCATTCTTTTCCATATTGTGAACCCCTAAGTTGTAATTTTTTCCTTTTAAAAAAATAGAGACAGAGATACTTAAAGAGAATTTTTTAACTTACTTAGGTTGATTATATGCATTAAGTATACTTTAAAAAACTTAAAAGTGAGTGCTGGTGAAATGCTTTCTTTCAGAAAGAAGTGTCCAGTTTACACTACAATATGCAATATGTCTATAATTTTTGAATGACAACATTAGAAGGTTGTAATTTTACTATTTTTGCTTTTGCTTCTGTTGCTGTTATACATGTAAAAGATTTTTCAGTGTTAGACTAGTTTGGTATTGTTTTTCCTGGCTGCTATTTGTTCTGTTAATGTTTTGAACATGCTACTTTATTGTGTTTAGTATTAACATTTACAGGTATTTTTATTTAATTAAAAGAAATGAAACTTGTTCTTTTTCTCTTTGAATTAAGAAATTAAATGAACAAGCTGCAGAACTGTTTGAATCTGGAGAGGATCGAGAAGTAAACAATGGTTTGATTATCATGAATGAATTTATTGTTCCGTTTTTGCCCCTACTATTGGTGGATGAAATGGAAGAGAAAGACATACTTGCAGTGGAAGATATGAGGAATAGATGGTGTTCCTACCTAGGACAAGAAATGGAATGTAAGTTAAACAATGCGAGTAGGCACCTGAACTGTTGGTATTCTGTTTATTCTTGCTGTTTTTTATGTTCTGTAATATTTTCATATTTGTGTCATTGCTGTCTTTTCCTTATTTATAAAAACTAAGCTGTACACATTGCTGTTTTCGTTTATATTTTTATCTTGTATTTAAAAATAAAGTATCAACTGGCCACATAAAATTAATAAATCATGTTGCAGGTGATCATTTAACAGTTATTATCTATGTTTAGATATATCTGATTATTTATATTTGCAGCAAACCTCCAAGAAAAGCTGACGGACTTTCTTCCAAAACTGCTTGACTGTTCTACGGAAATTAAAGGTTTCCACGAGCCACCGAAGTTACCTTCATATTCCACGCATGACCTCTGTGAGCGGTTTGCCCGAATCATGTTGTCCCTCAGTCGAACTCCTGCTGATGGAAGATAAACTGCACACGCTTTCCCTAAACACACTGTATAAACTCTTTTTAGTTCTTAACCCTTGCCTTCCTGTCACAGGGTTTGCTTGTTGCTGCTATAGTTTTTAACTTTTTTATTTTAATAACTGCAAAAGACAAAATGAATATACAGACTTTAACCAGACTGCAAACTATAAAGCTGAGAATCGCATGGCACTCAGACTTTGTTTTAACCAAAACTGATGTATAATTACAAATCTGATTGATTTTATTATGGCAAAATTTGCCACTTTTCTTGTCACAGTATTACTTTGCTTTCATCTCTTCTTTATCAACAGCTTTCCATTCAGTCTGGATCCTTCCATGACTAAGCCATTCAAGTGTTCAGCACTGTGTATAATACATAATATTTGGTAGCTTGTAACTGAAATTAAAGAATAAAGTTTTATTTATGGCTACCTATGTGTTTGTAAGCAGGTATATTGTATATTAGTGTATTATTTTAATGCATAAATGAATTTTTTCTTGGGATTGATACTGGGTGATGAGTAGATTAGTGCACTCTTTATTTTGATATAACAGTAGCATATTGCCAATTTACTATCTGACACTTAAGTGCACCTATACTTCTAATCAAGCTGTGGACTTAATATGACAGCTAGCCTGTTTTGAGTCCAGTCAAGTTTTCACTGAAGTGAGTAGCTGATTTTTAAGTCAGACTACACTAAAACCTTTAACCTTTTCAAAAATGTATTTACAGATAATATAGCAAGGTGACTATTTCAAGAGATAACCTGAAAAAAGTACTTGAAAAAGGGCTACTTGTAAAACTCAAAAAGAAATATGTATACACACACACAAGCACACAGAGGTGTACTCCATGGAGGACAGTGCTTTGCATTATATAAGCATTCTATTTTTGTAAGTTGCATACAACTTTAAGTGAAAATGTTCTCTATTATCCAGTGCTGTGAAATGAAGTTGATATTGTTTAACTAGAAATTATGAGTTTATTTACCTCCATTTTTTGAAGAAAAAAAGTTGTAGAGCATTTTATAGATGGAACTTCTGTTTAAAGATAATGAAGCAATATTGTGAATGAAAAAATCAGTGCTTCAAAGGTAATCATGTTACCAACAACCTATTTTTGAATTTATAAAAGTCTCTTTATGAATTATACTTTGATAGCAGAGTAAAATATATCACTATGCTATGTGTATGTTTATTGTAGCGTCGCCAAAACTATTAAGTGCTTCTCATAAAAATACTGATCTATCATGTGATACTCTTTATAGAGGTATCATTGTATTGCCATGGTATTAATGACAAGGAATTGGTACCATTCCTGTTGTAAAATTAGACTTTGCACATTATGGGTATCAAAATGTGTTTGGATTTAAAGTTTACATTCTCTACTGAGCCGAATTCAGTACTGTTTTCAGGTTTTCTTAAAAGTCTAGAAACTTCATGTGTACCTTTGTCACTTTTGTAAACAGTCTTCAATAGTGTATGATATTCTAACAATGGTGAATTTGTTTCTGTTTGTGTATAATTAACTGCTGAGACAAAAAAGTGCTCAAATACCATGTGGAAATTATTTCCTCAAAAGGAGCATACAGGGAATCTTGTAGGTCTTGTACTGAAGGTAAGTATTAATATTGTAATTGATTTGTACTTAAAAACTAGGTTATTCATTCCTAGTAATAAATCTGAAATCTAGTAATTATTTTGAAAGAACTTATTTAGAGAAGTGAGTTTTTCTCAAACCTAGGAAACAACTTGTTGTTATAGTGGATTTTAATCTAGGCTTAAGATTTAGGTCAGTGAAATTTCCTTTATATAATTTACTGGGTTAAGTATAACTTATAGCTAGTGACTTAAGCATTAGAATTCATAGGTGTGTTGTCCATGACAGGTTGGGATTTAAATAGCTGTATTATAGTTGGTTACTGTAGTATTCTTTCCTACTCCCCCCAAAATTACATTTTTAAATAATTCAGAGAAGTCAGATAGCCAGAACATATGACCTTTGGGATCTTCTGGTTTAAGTAGACTGGTATTCATAAATTAATCTCCGGTACCCTTCTAATATTGATCACATTCACTGAAATACACTCCAGGTGTGGTCTCCTTGATGCACGGATGACACGCGCAGGAATTTCAGATGCTCAGGGTTCTTGAGCCTGCTCTGAGAATGAAAGCACAGGCAGACTCCAACAGCAGAGGT